AAACACCAGGAGAATCAAGAGTCCAGAAAGAGTCACTAGAAGAATCAAGAGTCCACAACCGGGAGAATCAGAAGAGTCTATGAAGATACACTAAAGGAATCAAAAAAGTTTACAAAGATCTACTGAGAGAATCAAAAAAGTTCACCATCGGGAGAATCGAAAGAGTCCACCACCAAAGAACCACCAATGCTATTACATATTCTAAATCACACACCATTTTACGTCCCGAAGTAAAGTGCAAACCTAAAAAAGAAAAAAATGTTAGTAAGCGAAAAGGAACAAAAATAATTGGCTGGTACTTATCTTTATCTCAGTTCAAGTAATCACCAAAATCTGGGAGAATCAAAAGAGTCCAGAACCATTGGGATAATCGAAAAAGATCACCACTGGGTGAATCGAAAGAATCCACCACTAGGAGAATCAAAGAGTCCCAGAATCACTGGCGGTTCTTTGTGGACTCTTTTAATTCTCCGAAAGAATCAAAAGAGTCCACAAAGAACCACCAGCACCATTACATGTTCTAAATCGTACTATTTTATATTCCAAAGCAAAGAGCAAATATAAAGAGCAAACCTAAAAGAGAAAAAAAAACAAAAAAGAAATCAAAAACTTGACTGGTACTTATCTTTATACCAGTTCAAGTAATCACCAAAACCTAAAAGAATCAAAAGAGTACAAAACCACCAAGAGAATCAAGAGTCTAAGAACTGCTAGCATCATTACATGTTTTAAATCGCACATCATTTCACATCCTGAAGTAAAATACAAACCTAAAAGAGAAAAAAATAGTATTGTAGTAATAGAAAAAAAAACAAAAAAGAAATTGAAAATTTGAACTGTACTTATCTTTATATCATTTCAAGTAATCACTAAAATCCGGAAGTTTAAAACTACCGGGAGAATCGAAAGAGTCCAACACCGGGAGAATCAAGAGTCCAAGAATCACTAGTGGTTCTTTGTAGACTTTTTTGATTCTCCGGAAGAATCAAAAGAGTCCACAAAGAACCACCAACACCATTACATTGTTACAAGTGGACTGTAGCCTTCTTAATACAGCACAAGTAACAAAGCACATAGCTATAGAGCTCCGTTGCGAGA